GAGCAAGGTAAGGAGCGCTGGGCAGCGCGGGCACTGGAGGGCGGGGAAGGCGGGCACTGAGGGGCGAGAAGCGGGCGGGATGAGAGCTGGAGGGGGGACGTTTAGAGTCTGGGAAAAGATGGGAGAGGTAGTGGTGGGGTCCGGAGAAGGCAGCAGGCATTGCTTAGGAGTGGAGATCCAGGAGATGGGGAGGGAGGTGGTACTGGAGGAACAGATTTTGGAGAATGACATGATTGGAGGGTTAATCCCACCTCCTGAAACTGGGACTGTGGGGTGTAGCTTTCAGTTGATGTCCTGGGTGTGTGATGTGAATGAAAGGAATTTGATGCATTCGCGACTGGGAAATGAGGACTCGCGCGTGTCAGTGACCCTGCCTTGGCTCAGAGTCTGCGGTGTGCCCGGTGGAGTGGCTGGCGCGTGGTACCTGCTGGGCGGCAGATGTTCAGGGCGAATCCGAGGCTGGGTGCGGCTGGCGGCCCCCGGGTAGAGGGGATGCCTGAGGGCCCTCCGAAGTTCCCCATTGCTGGGGTTTACCCTTCAATTTATGCCATGTGCCGGCCTCCCAGAAGTGTTTATTTTGGCCGTAACCCTTCCTGGTAAACCGGTGGAAGGAACAGTAGGTCATGTTTCGAAACGGTGTTTGTTACCTAAGCCAAAGAGTCCCTTTTCAGTGGCAGAGGTTGGAGGAAGCAGTGGAATTTTTGCAAAACGCTCCTCCTAGGAATCCATTTCAATAAGGCAGGGTGGTGGTGACCCTGCAAAGCACTGGATTTGAATTTCGTTCTACTTCTGGCATGATGTGCAGAATTGCCTCAGCATCTCTTACCCCATTTAGCCTGCTTCCTCATCTGAAAATAGGGACATTCATTGGTGTCCTCTCTATGTAGTCTGGTGTGTAAAGATCAAACGAGAAAATGGTTGGAAAAGCACTTCATAAGTTGAAAAACATTGTGAAAATATTAGTTATGCATTTTTAAAACCAAGACATGGCAGGGTACTTCATGCTGCATTTTTAAGGAGAGAGAAAAATCTCTTCTTTCGGATGTCCTGTAAGGAAAACAAAAATTAAAGATGATGTAAAAGGTGGAGCCATCTTCCCGAGTATCGGATTTGTGTTTGCTTTTCTGTTGGCAACAAGCCTTGTGTACCAGGATATTAATGAATAATTAAAATCCTGTCCAGAAGAAGAGGAATTTTAAAGATAATTGTGTGTGAGCTATCAGGAAATAACTGTTCCAGGTATAGGGTTCAACTTTGTGAGGAGACAAGAAAACAGAAGTCAGATTGTCACAGCTAATTTACGGAAAGCAAAATGGAAGTCTGAAGGCTGTCCAGTGAGCCAAACTGTGGTGTAATAAAGAGCCTTTGGGAGGCAGAAGCTTGAATGTGATAGAAGAAGTCAGGGTGGGAAGATGAGTCAGGACTGGCATAGGGAAGTAGGATGGCCTTCCAGCTAGTGAGTGGAGGTGTGTATATGTGTGGTGTGTATATGTGTGGTGTGTGTGTGTATGTGCCACACAGACATGTGCTATTCAGTGGATTAGAAAGGTTAGCTCCGTGGAAGAGTTTTGAAGCTCATTTCAGCAACTGAGATGAGGACTACTCTGTGAAGACTCAATACTCAGAAATGTGTATCTTAGAAACTGATCCTTGAAGGAACCGACAGGAGTTAAGAGAGGGAAACGCGTTTCCTTTTGTTTTCTTTTTTGATGTCCAATTTTGAGAAGGAGCACAGAGTCCAGCATCATGACAAGGAGATTTCTCGAAGCCGAATTCCCCGGTTGATTCTTCGGCCCCATATGCCCCAACAACAGCACAAAGTGTCCCCAGCCTCTGAGTCTCCTTTCTCTGAGGAAGAGAGCAGAGAGTTCAACCCCAGCAGCTCTGGGCGCTCAGCGAGGACGGTTAGCAGCAACAGCTTCTGCTCAGGTACAGTACCCTTGGGAGGCCACCAGAGGCATGAAGCATGTGCACTGCAGGTGCATTGTGAATGGGCCCCTACTGGGTTCCTTATAGTCTAGAACTACACTTCTGCTATTAGGATGAATTGTAGAAGGCGGCACATTTCTGGCTCTTGTGACCTACAAACACAGCAGTTTCATATAGCTCAGTTTATTGGAATCTCACACCTGAATTTTCATATGTTATTCTAGCTTATAATTTCGAACGTAAAATCTAACTTCTTGTTTCTATGACTTTTTTTCTTTTGTTTTATTAACTTTAAGTTCTGGGATACATGTGCAGAACGTGCAGGTTTGTTACATAAGTATACACGTGCCATGGTGGTTTGCTGCACCCATCAACCCATCAACCCATCATCTACATTAAGTATTTCTCCTAATGCTTTCCCTCTCCTAGCCCCCCACCCACTGACAGGCCCTGGTATATGATGTTCCCCTCCCTGTGTCTGTGTGTTCAACTCCTACTTATGAGTGAGAACATGTGGTATTTGTTTTTCTGTTCCTGTGTTTAGTTTGCTGAGAATGATGGTTTCCAGCTTCATCTGTGTCCCTGAAAAGGACATTAACTCACCCTGTTTTATGGCTGCATAGTATTCCATGGTGTATATGTGCCACATTTTCTTTATCCAGTCTATCATTGATGGGCATTTGGGTTGGTTCCAAGTCTT